CTGTATGTAAAATAATGAGAAAAAAAAATTAACTTAAATGATTTTAGCAAATGGCTGCAATATAACAAAGAGTGAAAAATTTAAGGGGGTCTGAATACTTTCCGTACCCACTGTATATAAAAAATGCTCACACTGGTAGGAGTATAAAGGCTCCGACAGTGTGTTTGTTTATCACTGACTTATGTTTTTAGTAATGTGTGCCATTTTCATAATTTCCTCATAGGAGCTTTTTGTCCAGCACTTGGCTCTGTCCTCATATAAAAATGGTTCGGGTAAAGAGACAAACACACTGTCATACAGTGATCTGGCCAATGCAGCAGAGGAGTCGGAAACATTTCAGTTTTTAACCGGTGAGTCTTGGCCATTTGTGATGATGACAAACACTATTCAAACTAAATCAGCTGGTGTGTAAACAGTTTTGTCTCTTCTATTTTTAGATATCCTTCCTAAGAAAATCTTGGCCAGAGAGTATCTGAAGTCACTGGAAGAAATGGAAAAAGTTGATGACAACCTGTAGTGATGTGTAGCAAGTCGGAGGAAATCACTGTGAACTGGTCCTGACCACTTCCTCACCAAAACAGTGGATAAAATCATAGGGCATTGTCTTACAAATCAGGACATTTCACCCAAAGAGTTGTACTTTTACACCTCTGTTGTTTTAGAGAGGTAATGTGCATGTTTTACTTAATGTAGTCTGTATGTTTTAGCACCCACTTACACTATGCCGTGAGTCAAAATGTCCAATAGCCGCTGCAGATTCACAACCGAACCACTATGAGTACTGGAAACCAGGTTATATGGGGTTTTGTCATTCATCATTGGTGTTTTATTACTGCTTGACACCATGATTTGTATGTTTAGGGAAGATCCAAACATGTATACAGTCCATTCCATTCAATGTGAAATCAGACCTTGCTCATATGTCTACAAATTGAAAATGTTTTTCTCATGGTTTAAAATGTATCTTAGAGGTATATTTCATGGCCATGCTTTAACATTTTAACCACTGGGGATAAAAATGCATTTGATTAATACTTGACTCTGGACTGCAGCTGAAGATTTATATAGTGTACTGTATAGTTTTTAAATGCTTGAACAGTCTGAATTTTGTTTTTGAATAAATACTTTTGCTGATTATGTGTTCACTATAATCTTAATTTTTAATATGACAATCAGTCAGAATCTATAACGTGCAAAACTTTTGAAAGTGAACTGTTGTTGTTTTTTATTACGTGTAATATAATTGTACCTTACATTCGTAGGGAACAATACGGTGGCCGAGAAGTGCAAAGCAAATCACAATTCTGAAAACAAAATAACAAATTACAAACGCAAATGCAAGTCTAAAAAACGAAATAATTCAGAAAGCACAACAACAATTCAGAAAACATTATAAGAAGTCAGAAAACACAACGACAAATCCGAAAACAAATTAACAAGTCAAAATAAATGTATGTAACCAAAGTGACACCTTAGAGCAGGGATCCTCAAATCTGGCCCACGAGATCCACTTTCCTGCAGAGTTTAGCTCTAACCCTAATCAAACACACCTGAGCATGCTAATCAATGTCTTCAGGATCATTAGAAAATCACAGGTAGGTGAGTTTGATCAGGGTTGGAGCTAAACTCTGCAGCGCATTGGCCCTCCAGGGCAAGATTTGAGGAACCCTGGTCTAGTCTGGGGGTATAAAAATAGATTTTATTGCCATTACCTAATATTTATCCCATTTACTTAATGGAGTGGAAAAACAAGAGGAAAATACGCACACAAAAGAGAAATACAGGGTGCTGTTGGCATGCAGTACATGGTCATACAAGTCTTGTGTGTTTGATAAAATGTAATAATAAAACATGCATTATATTATTTTCCACATGTGTAGGTTGTGCTGCTCAAATGAAATTACTGGGGAAGTAGTTTGGCCAATTGAAGCTGCATAGTGTTCAAAGACCTCTCCAGATTGGCAAGATGTTTCTCTAGAAGAGCTGCTACTTGCTCCTTTTTAGCAATGGAGTCTTTCGTGTTGTCAATTTGCTCCTTCAGACTGAGAGAGAGAGAGAGAAAAAATTGATTCATGTGTTTCAAAATGTACAAATTTTCTGAATTCGAAGAAAACAACCTGTGATGACATTTTGCAATCATATGCCGCCTTTCCATTATCTCTGACATAGAGTGCAACAGTCAGATTCCAGGAAGTACGTTTTCTCAACAAATAAATTGATTTTTAACGATAACTTATAAACCTTTAACGATGGTTTATGAAGTCATCAGCCTACATTATTTTAACGTAAACATTAATGGCAGAATTCCTGGTGGCAAAATTACAGTACCCATGTTTCTGCAAGGAAATCTCCACGAATCACGCTATGCAAATTCAGCCAAAGTTACTCTTTAAAAACATCTCGTTACACGCTAAGACTACTTATAGATTTGTGAATATATGAATATTTTGCAATAAATGTAAAAAAATGTTTCTATATCTGTAATCAGCATTTTAAAATTTGACTTCAAAACAAAAAGTTTATAGTGTTCATTACTGGTAGTTGGTTGGTTTGTCTAATGGCTTAAAACTCTAACAAAGATGATTTTTTAAATCCTTGGGAAAAATAATTTTGGAAACAAGGCCACTGAACAAGTGGGTATGCACTGCACTCTATTGTTATTCACTCTATTTGTTGCATTTCATCCTATAGTGGCAGTTGTGCGAAACTCAATTTGGTCATTATCTTCCATCATGGTAAAATGAATGAATAATGAATGTATGAATATAACCACATAAAATAAATCACCACCAATACGTTGAAAATATTCATAACGGCCTGTTTTACAGAAACAGTGTTTAAAGATTAACATTTTAGTGCAAAAATATTGGTCATTCTCACATTGTGTCCATAGTTTTAAGTCTAGTCGCAAAGTTCAAATGTTTCAATGCACCCGAAGCTCAAAAAATTGGGTCTAAAAATTCCGTATATGTTCAGAATTCCACGCAGTTCCCATACTATTCGCCATCAGAAGACAATAACTTCCGGTTAGTTGTTTGTTGGAGATAGTAAAAAGGCGACTTCATAGTAAAATTCTGCTGAATATTTTATATCTCAGCCAAACATATCTTCCATGAAAACATTCAAAATTACTCAATTACCTTGAGAAGGTATAATGCTCTTTCCCCTCCTTCCTCTTCTCATCCAAATCCATGAACACCTTCTGCATTGTATCAGCCGTCTGGGCCACAACGAGATGGTCAGCCCGGACGCCCTGCATGTTCTCCCTGGCCTGTTGATCGTAGGACGCACCCCCTTCCTCGAGACCACTAGATGTCGATACGGCCTGCAGTGCCGCCCTGTTCTGCAGCACGAGAATGCGGGACTTCTCAAACTCCTCTGGGCCCGCTATATCATCCCAGCACACAGGGGAGGATGGAGGAAGCCAGAAGCGCTGAGTGCAGTTGGCCGGCCTGCCAGGCGTCTCTCTGACAAATGGACTATCAGCTGGAAAGCTGTTTAGGAGTTCGTGTAATCCAGAACCCCAGTTCCAGTCCGAATCCTCCAGCTCAATCTCCGTCACTATGCTGCCCGCTGGGTACCAGACAAACAGCAGGAAAAGGCACCAGGACAAACAAGTCCTTCTCATTCTGTCCTGGAGCAACAGCATACTGGTGATATCGGACAAACAGTAAACAGTATTGAAAGAATTAAGCGTCCTTGCACTGTGTGAGCTTAGTGTGTCAAACCCATATTCCTGACTTTGTAAGCATATGATGCATATAAAAGGATCTTTGAAAAAATTATAAACTAGGCCTACATGTTGGGGTCAGTGCCAATAGTCTTGCGGGCAGCGCCCCGACATATAGTGTCATTGTCTTATATCTAAATAAAAAGGCAAAAAAAACAAATCTTAAAAAAAAAAAAACTACATTTTGGGGTTACACTACATTCTTAATGTTATATTAATATTTTTTTCTAGCATGCTGAATTATGAGAGGGCTGCACAATTATTAAAAACAGCATTTTCACAGATTAAAAAGTATGACATTTGTTAGTTTATGAAACATTTAGTCTCAAATTATTTGTATGTATAGAGTAGTAGTTCTCAAGTGGCTTCAGCAAACTGTCTTCAAAATAAATATATATATTTTTCAGTTTAGTAAGGAGTCCAGCCCGGGGTCGTCACATGTGGTTGCCGCAAGCTCGCCGGCCGCGCCATTCTCAAGCCCACCTGCCTCCGCTCACTCAAGCCCGCCCGCTGCCACTCACTCAAGCCGGCCTCCGCTCACGCTAGCCGCCGTTTTTTATATTTAAAGAGTTTTTATATTTTATATATTTAAAGCGAGTTTTTTGGGCGGTGTAGAGTAGGGCTTGTTGTTTGTCGTTTCTCTGATCACAAATGCAGACATGGTTTTATGTTTACGCAGCACGATACACAACGCAACGTGTAAAAATACAGTATAAGTCATTATAATCCGTATTTATGTCCCCACTGGATGCAACAAATGCCTCGTTTATAATGGGTTTTAATGTTTTTGTCTAGTACTCTGGCAGGACAGGGCATTACAATACGGTAAGGGGCGTAACATTTCCGTCACACGCTTGAGGTATTCGGCCAATCACAACGCACTGGATAGCTGGCCAATCACAGCACACCTCGCTTTTCAGACCGATGAGCTTTGTAAAAATCGTCGCGTTTCAGAAAGGCGGGGCATAGAGGAGGAACAATAATGTACAGTATGTGGAAAATAATGTGTTTTTTTAACCTTAAACCGCATAAACACATTTCATTACACCAAATAATGTTCTTTTTAGCAACATCATATGACCCCTTTAACAATCTTAATTAAAACAGAAATAAACACTAAAAACACAACATAAATACCTATCAGATTACATAGGACGGCATACAAACGTCATATTTTTTATTTATTGCTTTTATTTAATACATTATTAAAGTACATTTATGATTATTGCATGCAGCAGGTGGTGTAAAATCTATTGGAATAATATTGCGGTACCAGTTGTTTGTGTTGTTCTTGATGTTTTAGTACTAGACATCTGCTAAGTTCACTGTACCCCGTTTCCACCAAGAAACATTACAGACCCAAGACCCAAAATGGATCCCATGAATAGTTGTTTTTGATTATAGCAATAAATTGTAAAATAAAGATTGCTTTCAAATACATTCCCTCAACATTCCTCCAGATGGTCAGACAAAGAGGTAGGTCGAACCATTACTATTATGTTGAGCTGATGCTCAAACAAAGCAATTTTTATAGTGCCAGAGAATATTCACTTTTCTGGGGAATCAGACAAAACTTGCCTCTGCTGTTATGGTGGAACAGTAGAAAGTAGCATCGAAACAATGTGTACATTACATGCATCGTTTTATTAGGCTAGTTTACTGTTCTCACTCACGACCGATCTAAAGTGTTATTGAAGGAAACAAACAAAAAAGAAAGAAATATACAAACAACGCACACGGACGAAATTCTCAAATAAACTACTTTTTAATTTATGAATGGAATATATATTAACTTCTGACTTAATATTCCGTCGAATTCTGTCGACGTTTATGAAACGTTCTTTCCACTGAAACGCTTTATGAGGAAAATTCCAATAAACGGCGTTTTCGCTATTGAGCTTACAACTAACAAATGAAGCAAAAGCATTTAACACCTTAAAGTGCTAAAACTTTTCAAAGTTTCAGATAAACTTACCTCACAGTCACAGACTACTACAGATCAGCAGGCAGAAAAGGAGCTCGCGTGCTTTTCATAAATGAGCTATTGGAAAATCTGACTCGCACTTCACAGCTCAACTCAAGAGCTGCTCACAGCTTATTTGTCTAGATAAGCAAAGAAAAGCCTTTTATTTTCACAGACAATACACTAAACACGAAATAAACAACGGGCGTTGTACATAAAAAGTGTCAAGAGTGGAGTAAAACAAAACAGACGTCTGAGATGTGGTTTTCCAGTTCCAGAGTTTTTATCAGCTGGAAGAGTGGCCGTGTCTCAATACCTAGTGAGCTGCCTATCTAGACAGCATTTTAGACATAATTTGGGCGCGGAATAACATTCTATAACACTGTGCAGATATGCACTAGGTTTTGAGACACGACCATTGTAAACTTTTTAAGGAGGGTTTCCTTGTCTGTGAATGTGACTTTTTTTTTCCCTTTTGATGCTGAAGGGGGTTAGGTAGTAGTACGGAGAGTCTTGAGGCAGTCACAATTTATTTTTTAAAGATACAAGGATTGTCTTAAATAAACCCTAACTTTTACTTATGTGAGCTAAACTGTACAGCATAAAGCTTAGTTTTGTACTGTAGTGTGAGAAGAGAGAGTAAACACCAGTTTTGGCCTCAGGCAACATTGTTTTGAGGTTTGCAAGAATCCACACAATCTGCGTTTACTTACAGATGGTTGTTTGGCGCTCTAGAAAACATAAGTGCAGAGGGATTTTAAAGGCCAATATGATCTCAGCAAACAGGAATGGAAAAAAAGCTGGCAAAAGCAGCAGACATTAGCAGAGGCCAGCATGTCCAAAAACATCATAGCTAGAAGTTAAAAATCTGGCATAAAACATTAAAAACACAAGACACGGCAGTCAGAGGAAATTAAGTTTATTAAATGATGCGATACACAGTCAAGCGAAAGTGAGCTATATTAAATGATACGTTTTCACATTATGTCTTAGCAGGGTTTACAGCATATCTTGGTTTGTAATTGTTTTGTTTCGTTTTTTTAAAAGAAAAGCTCACACTTTACATCATCAAGAAACAACAAGGAGCTTAGCAGTGAATGCAAACACATGAATCAGAAATGAAAGAATTCATGAAAGGAATGACAGCAAATTTAATTTGGCATGTTATAAAGGAGCAAAGACAAGGTTAAATGAAAGATAAATTGCTGATGTGAGAGGGAGGTTTGACACCACGATGCAGTGCAAGAAAGCCTTCGAATAGAAACTACTTTGTTCGCTTGGCTTTTCCATCACTAGCATGGACATGGTTTAAAAACAACAACAACAAGAGTGGCCTGGAATTTCAACTGCTTGTAATTTACTTATGAAACAAACAAGAAAAAGAAAAGGAAAAGATGATTGTCAACTTACAGAGTACAATTTGGAGGGGAAAAAAAAAAAAAAGAGCCATCTGTCAGTTCCAGGACACTCCTACATTCTCAGGAGGTAGTTTTATGGCAAAAACGTATGGCCTGAATTGTAGTGACTTGCATGTTGTGGTTAATAGTGCATATTTTAAGGCCAGATATACTTTATGTTCCATCCATAAATGCAGTTCTAAGGCTACATTAAGACACAGGTGAGGGGATTGAGGACGAGAGGCAATAGCAGATACAGCCCTTAAATGGCAATACCTGAGTCAACTGTAACTTTTGACTGCAAGACGTCACTACATATCGGTAATATTGTATTATGTCAGTGAATCTGTCAGAATTGCATTTGATGTGCAGAAGGTGCTTGCACAGCTTGTGGGCATCAAACCTCCCTATAGGGGAAATTGTTTGAAATGAGGTTCACAAAAGAACAATAAATGAAGTTTATGCAGCATTTATCAGGCTTATGAGGTACTTCACATCTATACACTTTATTTTTCGGAAAGACCAACAAGTCATATGGTTCCTTAGAATTCCTATTGTAGCAGAAAATACCTCGTCTTAAATAGTCTTAGTCTGTGTGCCCAATTACAACAGGGCATCCTTTAAAACTGCTTAGAAAGTGCAAAATACAAATACTGATCATTCTATGCAGCATTCACTCAAGGTTGCATGATAAATGTACAAATTATTCAATGTGGCACTGGGTATCAAATTAAAAGGATAGTCCCTCGATCAGGGGTGGGAGAGATTTTAAAAAGGCACACATACGACAAAAAAACGAAACAAAAACACGCTGCACGTTTTTAAGCTCACCGATGAAAAACAAGAATCTGAATGATTTCCATACAACCTCTTTGTACCTTAATATTGATCTCTCAAGAAACTCAAATGCCAGTGTATTAGGATGCTTAACGCAGCCTTAATCAGAGTCTAAGAGACATCAAATCAAAATTGAATTCCCTTCATAAAATGTAGCAAGGTAAATACACGTCAATTGCGATGAATAGCACTCCGAAGTCTCACATGGCAAAGTTTAAATACAAATAGCTTATCGCAGACTCGTCGTAGAACTTTCATCAAACGGATCAGGATCTAATGAGTGCGGAACATCTTTATTGCAATACTGGATATAAATCAAGTAGAAGAATCAAGTAGAGTGCTAGTACTCCAAAGACAGTAAAGCTCAACGATCGCCATTTGACACAGGTTGACAAGCTGCTTCATAAGAAAATGTTGTCAGTTTTCCCCGAACATACATTAAACACAGAGCAGTGGTCATTGGACGTTTCTTGTCCAGTATGTTATCCATAATATGGCACAATGCTAGTGACGGACATGGGGATGACACTGCCACATACCAGATCAACTCAACTCAGTCAAGATCCAGGAAAGAACTACACCAACTTAACCACCAGGTTTTGGCAATTATCTTGGCCTGAATTCTGATTTGTTCTCTATAGATACAACCAGAGGATCTGAGAACAGCTCCACTCAAAAGCTACAGTGGAAAATTATTTTAATAAACCTCTAAAAGCTGATGAGTATTTATCACTACATTTTAAAAAGGGAAACTTTCAAATCATACTTATTTTGGTCCCCTGCAATTTTGTTACATGCTGAAACATCCCTCATGTTGATCCACCATACAAATTTTTAAAATCGCTTGGAAAAAAAAAAGATTGAAAGAAAACTAAACACTTAACACACAGTATAGGCTTGTGTTGTTTGGTCACAATTATTGTTCTTTGTCATGAGCACATATACATATATGTATAAGGGATATTTTAATGTTAGCACCTGACACTATTGAGGTAGTTTTCAAAGTTGGTTTAAAAAGCCAGGTCATGATGAAGCTCTCAATTATTCCAATAAATCAGTCTCAAGACCCTATTTTCATCTTACATGCATGCTCATATTTGAATAAATAACATGTTAGCATGTAATAAACTAATGGAACTGTGCTCTTTAACAGGACACTTTGCAATATTTTTTATCCCTCACAGCAAGCTCCAATTTTGGCCATTTTAGACTAGTTTTAAAATTAGTTTAGGACTTAGAAAGGAGGGAAAAATTCTAAAAAGTGTTTTGAAACCCAATAAACAACTAGCTGAATGGCAACTGACCTGTAACGAAACGGAGTAGAACTGAGAACTGAGGCTCAGCAAGTACCAGGACCACCACAGAGTGTTTGCTGGTAAAGCAAAAGGGCTTCAATCAAAGTGAATTTGGCTTATTGGGTTGATACATGAACACGGGTGTTATAGTATAGCTCAAAAACCCTTTGGATGAAACTTGAGTTGGAAATTCCAGCAAACATACAAGTAGTACATGGCGCAAAAAAAAAAAAACACCAAAACATTGCCTTATGTACACTTTTTACAGTATAGCACCACAAACGTCAGCGATACAAGGATCTTTGTGCCAGTGTGCATTCTGAATAAACTAACCATATGTTAATTTAGTACATCACAACCATGAATGGTGAGATATAGTTTATGGATAAAAGCCCAACGATTCAATGCTGCTTAAAATGTGCATGCATAAAACAAAGTGGAGCAAACAGGTGAAAATAAGGTGGATGTTCTTAACCAGTATGCAGGCGTATTAAGTACATTCAAACTGTTCGTTTGTATCCGTATGGTTTTAGCAGGTCATAAGGTAGCGTATTTTAAACTTGCCACCTTAGGAATTAAAAAGCAAAGAGTACAGTAACAAAACTACAATGGTATGTAGAGAGAGGCTTACATTTCTTCTTCGGAACACTATAGTGCAAAGTTCTAATGCAAATACATTAGCAATATGTTTCTTAAGGTTAAAAGACCACCTCTGATCATCAAGCTGAGGGGCACAATTCTTTTGATGAGACTGGCATTTTTTTTGTCTGGCATGAATAGAAAAACGTTTCTGAAATTAAAATCTGAAAGTCATTGGGGCACTAACTAAGAATCAACACAACTAACTAGTTTTATTCAAACCATAAGGTGTAAAGCGAAGAGGCATGTGGACACTGTAACCCCACACAAAGCTGGAAAGATACTTCGCCAAGCAATATACAAGCTTCACTCAAGCAGCAAAAGACAATACTCTAGAAAAGATGACTCAAGAGACATAATGTTAATGGCATAACATTGATAAATAATTAAAAGTTTCCAGGGAAATTGAGGCACCATTTCCAATTTTCAGTTAACACTGTATGTGCCTCTTAAGAATTGAAACAGAGATGCTGCAGCATAGATTAACACGACAATCTCTACAACACCAGCACCTTACTTCATTCTCCTCCCTTAATCCTTGGCCTCCATTACATTTGCATTTACGGATATTAGAACGGATTTATCTGAATCAAGCATTTGCGTCAGATTGCTAAAAACATCAGTTGATTGTATTGTGGAAGGAGGGAATGAAAAAAAAAAAAAAAAAAACACCAAACACACCAA